AGTAAGAAGAAGAGGGGGGAGTAAGAAGAAGAAGCGGGAGGAAGAAGAAGAAGGGGGAGTAAGAAGAAGGGGGGTAAGAAGAAGAAGGGGGAGCAATAGGAAGAAGGGGGTAAGAAGAACAGGTGGGGGAGTAAGAAGAACAGGTGGGGGAGTAAGACGACCAAGGGGGGAAGTAAGAAGAACACATAGAGGGAGGAGTGAGAAGAACACAGGGAGGGTGGAGGGGGGGATGAGAAGAGCACAGGGAGGGTGGGTGAGTGTGAGAAGAGACCGCTAGGGGAGGGTGGGGGAGAGGAGAGACCACTAAGGTGCAGGGGAGAGCTCTACTGCATGAAGGGGCAGCTCTATAGGACAGGGCCGACAGGAGCTCTTTTTCACACTACACGCCGCCAAGCACACACACACACACACACACAATGCATCCCTATACATTGCAGAAACACAAACATGCTTCCCTTTACACACAGAGAAACACACACAATGCATCCACACACACACACACAATGCAACCTCTTACACACAAAGACAATGCACCTTTGCACACATACACAGAAACAGACAATGCAAACCTGTACACACACATGCAAACACACACACTTTTCTTACATACACACAGAAACACAATGCATCTCTACACTCAATGCACACACATACAGACACACACCTTGCATCCCTTATGCATACAAACACAGATTCACACAATGCATCCCTTACACACAAACAGAAACACATAATACATCCCTTATACACAAATACACACTGCTTCCACTACACACAAACACACTACATCACCTGCACAAACTGGTAACCCTATACACTACATACCATAAGCACACATATTAGCTCCTCTACAAACACATCCCCTACACACTCCACTCCCTGTGAGCGAACTCATGGGTGGGTGGAACTTATGAGTGGGCCTTATGAGCATACTCACCGTCAGGCCCTGGGGCCCAGACCCCCAAAAATGGAGCTGCTTCCAATTCTCCCAGAACATTGAATTTTGTGACCACAGTTGCAAACAGCTCCAGAGATCCTGTTCTACACCAGACCAGTGGAGCCAAACTGCAGCCCATCATCATCCTCATCTGCTTGTAAGTAGGCAATCTAGTATATTATTAGTGACACTAATCTATAATGTACCTCACATTAAAGGGACACTATAGCTTAATGAAGTGGTTTTGGTGTCTATAGCTGGTCCCTGCAGGCTTTTTAATGTAAACACACACTGTGTGCAGCACTGGCGTTAGTTCATATGGGTGGGGCATTGTGATGTCACATGGGGGGGGCAGGAAATTTTTATTTTGTCTAGGGCGGCAAAAATCCTTGCACCGGCTCTGATCCTGGGCAGGTGCACCAGTCTACTGGTGACCCACAGGAGGGGAGTGCACTGATTGCACTGCACCCTCCTCCTGCCCAGCCCCATCTTTACCGCAGTGCAAGTGCCCTCTGCCCTTAATTTACAGTGGCTCACACTCACAACAAGCAGTGCCTGGAGCCGTGAAGGAGCGGGTATGGCAAAGAGCTACTGATTAGCAAAACATCAATATCCAGGAACGCGGCTGGCCCCCTGACTTCTCCAGGTAAAGGGGGAGGGGGGGAGAGGAGAATAGAGGGAGGAGGGAGAGACACAAGGAAAGGTGGGAGGGAGAGAGATGGGGAGATACACAGGGAAAGTGGGAGGGAAAGAGATGGGGAGGAGGGGGGGAGAGACACAGGGAAAGGGGGGAGAGAGATGGGGAGGAGGGAGAGACACAGGAAGGGGGAGAGAGATGGGGAGAGACACAGGAAAGGGGGAGGGAGAGAGATGGGGAGGAGGGGGGAGAGACACAGGAAGGGGAGAGGGAGGAGGGGGGAGACACAGAGAAAGGAGAGAGATAGGGAGAGACACAGGGAAAGGGAAGGAGAGAGATGGGAGGAGGGGGGGAGAGATTAATAGGAAAGGGGGAGATGGGGAAGAGGGGGGAGAGAGATGGGGAGAGACACAGGGAAAGGGGGGAGAGATGGGTTGGAGGGAGGGGAGAGACACACAGGGAAAGGGGGGAGGAGAGAGATGGGGAGGAGGGAGAGACACAGGGAAAGGGGGGAGGAGAGAGATGGGGAGGAGGGAGAGACACAGGGAAAGGGGGTGAAAGAGGCAGAGGGGGAAGAGAGAGACAAAGAGGGAGAAATGAGAGAGAGACACACAAGGGGAGGGGAAGAAAGAGGCAGAGGGGGAAGAGAGAGACTGGGAAGGAGAGGGGAGACATTGACACAGAGGAGCAGTGAGGGGGAGAAAGAAACATACAGTGACTGGGGGAGACAAAAAGGCACACAGAGGGGCTGGAGATAAAGAGACACACATAGGGGCAGTATATATCACAAAGCCCCCAAGGCCTTCCCCTGCCGGCCGATCTCCCTCCCCGTTCCACAGGCACCGTGCAGCCAGTTGGCAGGGGAGGAAGAGAGGACCTGGGGCAACGCTCCGGCTCTCACGAGGGTGAACTCTAACCCTGGAGCTACGGGCTAGAGTTCACTCTCACCACTTCCTTGTGGTCCCAGTAGTAGGAGTGAACTCTAGCCCCATACACACACTGCCCCACACACACACCATACACATTCACACACTGCTCCCACACACACACACACACACACACACACCATACACATTTACACACTGCCCACCCACACACTGAACCTTTCACACACATTGCACCACTGCTCCTATACCCTACTACAGCCCCATATCCCAGCAGACTCCAGGTAAGTTGTCAAACTGTTCTTAAACGGTTTGACGACTTACTCTGGGAGGGGGTGCCGACGCTCCTGGCACCATAACCACTACACAGAGGAGTAGTGGTTATTGTGCATGGAATATTTCTTTAAATAATCTACAAGTGCCCCTCTCAGGCTCAGGCTCTGGATCCGCCATTAGTATATGACATGTATATTAATGTGTGTATTAGTTTTATATCTCTATTATATTTACACATATTAATGTACATTTATAAATGCATAATACACAGATAAATTTCATTAATATGTACCATATGTAATGAGCAGATATTGGCCCAGTCTTGTTGCTAGGTGAATACTCCAGCGCAATAACATATTTAAAGTGAAGAGCACACCCACAGGACTTCAAAATAAAAAAAATTCAGTTGTGCCCTACATACATTCACCATTTCAGTCCCATTAACAAGCTTTCCTTAATATGTCAAGGTAGTTGGACTGAAACATTGATTACATGCAAAGGCACGTCTGCTTAAAATAAATCTGCACTTTTGTTTATTTTGAAGCCTATGAGTGCGCTTTTTACGTTGAAGTACTTTTTAATTTTAAGTTATCTGTTCTAACTCTGTATCTGCACACTATGCTGGCGCGATGCATTATGGGGCTGGTAAATATTTTTTTTCCAGGGCTGCTTTTAATTCCCAGTCCGGCCCTGGCGGAGAGGGACCTTTCCCAAGGTGCCTCTCATCTCCTCGGTGGTTCCTTTTATAGTGCGGCTTGTGCGTGCTGATGTCACAATGCTTATGACATCATGGCCCACCAAAACGGTCACATTCAAATGTTTTTGGGGCATGGCTGTAGATTAAAGCTAAAGATTATATAAAGTTCTCCTAGGGCAAGGATCATACCCTGTTGTGTTTCTAGTTTACAGTTCCCAAGATTGTGTTTTTATTTGTATATCTCTCGTATTTTGATGTCGGCTTTCCTGACTATTCTCCATTCTATAATCCGGCTATTGGTTTTCGCTTCCCTAATTTCTGGTTTCCCTGACTTGGCTTGTCCCTGACTATTCTAATTCTAACAACAGCTAATCCTGGCCATTCTAAGGACCGGTATACGTTATCTAATCTATTATCATACTCTACACTCTGCTGCTTGGGTCACTAGGGATCGTGACACGGCTGTACCCAAACAATACCACTCTACCAAACAATACCACTAAACCCAAGAATTATTTTGCACCATCCAAAATTTCCTGCTACACTCAAACATCCCCACTCTGTCTAAACACACCAGTCTCCTGAGCCATTTACACTATCCTGATATAGTCATACCCTACCCAAACATTCTCAATTTTAGTCATAACAATCCCGGTCTATTCAAACATTCGCACGTTACCCAATTAATTTCACCAACTCGAACATTCTCTCTATTAAACTGTTCTGACTCCAATTTAACATTCCCACTCTATGTAAATATTCCAAACATCCTAACCCAAACAACTTATAGACTCCAGAGCATGCATTAAAACCAGAGAAAGCTACATTTATCCTTCCTAATCTATACTTGCTGATGAATTATTTTGAGTATAAATATATTTATTATACTGAACCATCTTTATTCTTGTGCAAACAGCCCGAACAACCTCAATATTTGATGTGCAGGTGCCTACTGTAGCTTGAGATTTTTTTTCAGAATGGTCAATTATCTTATAGGCTTTTATATAAGGGATTTGTTATACAAATTAAAAATCCACTCAGAAACATCCCCCAGCTATTTCTGGTCAGTAACAACCCTTAAAGTGAATTAACATTACAAAATCACACTTGATTTATTGAATCCATCTCCGTTGATGTGTTTAACTGAATGGTTAGCCAATCGTCCTACGTGCTACATTCCAAAAATGGAGAAATTATCATGGTAGCTCAGTCCAATTATGAGTTAAATGCCTAGTCAGTTAATAATGGACTGTCAAATATGCACGAAACAGCATTCCAAGTATGGAATGCAAACAGTACTATTAGAAACTACATAATTAACATAGACTCATTATTAGCAGAACTGTATACAGCAATTCTTAAAATGTTGACGGACATATTGCCTCTAATGTACAAATCTTTTGGCTCCGTTGCTGAAAAATTACACCAATCATTTTTTAAAAAAAAGATTTTTGACTGTGTGAAGCTGATAACGTCTGCACGAAGACTTTAGACTGAATGTAAGGTTTGACTGTTGTTCACAGAGTTCCATTTCATTTGGCTATTTAATTTACTGGCATCCACAAGGCAGACTGTTTGTAATATACAGTATTTTAACTAGAAAAAAAATCCCAAATCATATTGTGTGCTTTATTTTAGAATAAAATAAATAACTAAGTTTCTGCTGCATTAAAATTGATGTATCTTACTTATGAAATACTTAGCATTTCCAAATTTGAAAAAAAAATGTGACTATCTTGGTAGGGGCATGATGTCTGGAGATGTTGCACCCCTCTTTCTTAATTGCATGGTGCTGTTGAGGTCTAATGCACATGCCTGCTCAGCTGTTATGGCATCTTGCACTGACTGTATAGCAGCAGATACTTGGTGAAATGTTACTGTAAAGTAAAATTAGGAGACAAAGTACTTAGACCTCACGATGTATAGCATCAAACGTTAGAATTATTGGATCATATAGACAAAATAAACATACAGCATTTCATCCCACTGGCCTTCATCATATATGATTAATATCTTATTTATATGATCCAATAAATCTACACTTTGATGATATACATTGTGATGCTTATGTGCTGCTTCTCCAAGGACTCAAGAATGTCACATCTGGACTTGGTAGGCATGAATAAAGAAAAAACTCCAGTATTGACTGGCCCTCTTATCGGTAAACTGTAATGATACCATACTATATATAATAAGCTGTAATGATACAATGTAATATAATAAACAGTAATGATACAATACAATATAATAAACTGTAATGATACCATACTGTATATAATAAGCTGTAATGATACAATGTAATATAATAAACAGTAATGATACAATACAATATAATAAACTGTAATGATACCATACGATATATAATAAGCTGTAATGATACAATGTAATATAATAAACTGTAATGATACAATATAATATAATCAACTGCAATGATAAAATGCTATGTAATAAACTGTAATGCACTTATACGATATAATAAACTGTAATGATACAATACTATATAATAAACTGTAATGATACAATACGATATAATAAGCTGTAATGATACAATGTAATATTATAAACTGTAATGATACAATATGATATATTAAACTATAATGATACAATACAATATAATAAACTGTAATGATACCATACGATATATAATAAGCTGTAATGATACAATGTAATATAATAAACAGTAATGATACAATACGATATAATAAACTGTAATGATACAATGTAATATATTAAACAGTTATGATACAATATGATATAATAAACTGTAATGATACAATATGATATATTAAACTGTAATGATACAATACTATATAATAAACTGTAATGATACAATATGATATATTAAACTGTAATGATACAATACTATATAATAAGCTCTAATGATACAATGTAATATTAGAAACTGTAATGATACAACACAATATATTAAACTGTAATGATACAACATGATATAATAAACTGTAATGATACAATATGATATGTTAAACTGTAATGATACAATACTATATAATAAGCTCTAATGATACAATGTAATATTAGAAACTGTAATGATACAACACAATATATTAAACTGTAATGATACAACATGATATAATAAACTGTAATAATACAATACAATATAATAAACACTAATGATACCATATGATATAATAAACTGTAATGATGCCATACAATATGATAAGCTGTAATGATACAATGTAATATAATAAACGGTAATGATACAATATGATATATTAAACTGTAATGATACAATACTATATAATAAGCTCTAATGATACAATGTAATATTAGAAACTGTAATGATACAACACAATATATTAAACTGTAATGATACAATACAATATAATAAACTGTAATGATACAACATGATATAATAAACTGTAATAATACAATACAATATAATAAACTGTAATGATACAATATGATATATTAAACTGTAATGATACAATACAATATAATAAACTGTAATGATACAATATGATATATTAAACTGTAATGATACAATACGATATAATAAACTGTAATGATACAATATGATATATTAAACTGTAATGATACAATACGATATAATAAACTGTAATGATAAAATACAATATATTAAACTGTAATGATACAATACTATATAATAAACTGTAATAATACAACCCGATATAATAAACTGTAATAATACAACACGATATAATAAACTGTAATGATACAATGTAATATAATAAACTGTAATGATACAATACAATATAATAAACTGTAATGATACAATGTAATATAGTAAACTGTAATGGTACAATATGATATAATAAGCTGTAGTGATACAATGTAATATTATAAACTGTAATGATACAACACGATATATTAAACTGTAATGGTACAATACAATATAATAAACTGTAATGATACAACACGATATATTAAACTGTAATGATACAATAAGATATAATAAACTGTTGTAACAGCACCCCCAGGCAAAAAAAGGGGTAAACCGCCGTTTAGTAGATCTTCCCTTCCAGAGACACAGGCACAGCTACTGTAGACACCAATACACCGAACCGGAGAAGCATATGAATGCTGTAAACAGCTGAACCGGAACCACACGAATGCTGTAAACAGCCGAATAGGAAAAACCATACAAATAGGTTTACACTCCTAGCAGTCAAACTGTAACAGCATACAGTAAATCCCCCCAAGAACGAGACAAAGCTCCGTGTTGAGGGTCAAGCTGTGAACAGACAGAGCTGTGGGTTTATTGTTCTTATATACACATTAGTACCACCCACAGGGTTTTGGAAAACAACCAATAAACATGTACAATACACTCAGACACTCCCACACAAAATCCTCCCCTCTACCTGAGATACAATTACCTTACACAATGGGTAATGTAATTATCACTGCCAGAGAAATACAGTTTTTCTTCATTATTCATAACTTGAAAAGTATGCATCACATTCACATACTTACATTTTAAAAATCAGCATACTCCAAATACAAACATATGTCAAAATCATCCAAATTGGTCCATTGGTTCAAAAGATAGATCGAAGTCCTTTGTGACCAAATGAAGTATGGCTTTTCTGCCCAAAACCAGTTCCACAGAGTCTTCTATCCTGGAGATAATTGGGAAGTAATCCAATTATCTCCAAAGACAGAGGCAAAACTCCATTAAGCACATGGCAGTAAAAAGACAGTAAAATACAATAAAATAGACAAGGTTACATTTATGACATAAAATACAGACATGCAACATATCCCCAGATAGCTTAGGTCTGAGCGCACATTATTACTGAATGGCGCTCAGACCACACACATATAGTTCAATCGCCATGGAGCCAAAGTCTTTTATTACACAAATAGGCTCCATGGCATAGCTATCTGGGTTAAATGAGTTAATTCAGTAAATCTGAGAATCCACAGAACGCCAGGGCAGAAATACAGGAATAGACCTTTCTGCATAGGAAAATAAAGTATTTAAATACCGGTCCATAGTCAAAAGGCAGCAGGTAGACAACTAGGCTCCTCCAATGCAATGTGGCGAGATTGATCTTGTCACAACTGTAATGGTAAAACACAATATATTAAACTGTAATGACACAATACAATATAATAAACTGTAATGATACAACACGATATATTAAACTGTAATGATACAATACAATATAATAAAACTGTAATGATACAACACGATATATTAAACTGTAATGATACAATGTAATATAATAAACTGTAATGATACAATACGATATAATAAACTGTAATGATACAATGTAATATATTAAACAGTAATGATACAATACGGTATAATAAACAGTAATGATACAATATGATATAATAAACTGTAATGATACAATGTAATATATTAAAAAGTTATGATACAATATGATATAATAAACTGTAATGATACAATATGATATAATAAACTGTAATGCTCTCATACGATATAATAAACTGTAATGATACAATATGATATAATAAACAGTAATGATACAATATTATTATTATTATTATTATTATGCTGCTTGGAATGTTCCTTTAACAGAGCTTAATTCTTTACACTGAACAGAACTGTTTGTGTTCCTTATCATCTTCTTTTAATTGATGCTTTGTCTTTTTTGTGAATTTGAGAAGGAATATTTTGTCCATGGCGTATGAGGCTGGGTTAATTCCTAGAAAAGGGGAATGTCTCAGTCTGGTTTGGATATTTCCCAAGGAATTTAAGTTGTATTGGAAGAGATAGTTTGAAAAAACAATAATAACACATACAACCTTTAAATCACTGGTGAAAACAAAGAAATCTAAATATCCATTTGGAAAACATTGATCTTGCTGCAAACTATCTCATATTTTGGCTTTAGCAGCAAATAGTTTTTTTTATAAAATACTTTTCAGGATTTGAACAATCTTTAGAATTCCTTTGTGACATCTGTGGTCTTACCTTAGACATCATGTAACCTTGTTCTCTGAATCCCCCAAGGTTTGAAGAGATAATGAACTCTTAAACGAGATATCTGGTTCTCAAAACAAATCCATAAAACAGAATTATATAGATTAAAACTGCCTGTACCTTGTGTTGACTATAGACCTCTTGCATATAGTAAATAACACATTTACTTTCGCCTACTAACTTGCTTAGCACTCATCTCCACCCCCTATGTCTTCATTGCTTCCACTTCCTTACATTTATACTCCGGGAGGAGGAATTGAATCAATATAAGATGCTATCAGGGGCCCAGCCACTTATATTAAATAGTCAGTCATGAGCATCAACCCACATAGTCATGGGCAAAGTGGGCAGGCCCAAAGAGGTAGGCATGTGGAGGGAGAAGGATCTACCAAAAAAATTGATGGGCCTGCCCAGAAAAGGGACATGTCATGCTGGTGTGAATGCATGCCAGGCTGTCTGAATATCTCTCTGGTCAGAAGCCCAAGAGCTCAATGCCCTGATGACAATTTGATGGTGCGAGGTATCTGTTAGTGCACACACTTGGTTTACTATTGTCCCCAAAGTAGGACACCAGGAAACAAACTTATGATAGGAGGACAGAGGAATTATTTCAGGACTGTCTCAACAACTGTGGCTTTTTTCAGTTTGTTAATTTGCTAGTAAATGTGCAAAGGACTACCACACTTAAGTATTTATTGCTTAAGAACTTTAATCAAGTTTTAACTCTTGAATTTGGTTACTTTTATCATCTAACACATGCTCCAAAAACTATTTCCAAAACAAAGTCACCACCTTCACTACTAATTTTCATTACCTTTCTTTCATCTTTCCTTAAGATCACCTCCAACCCTTTTGCCATCTTGCCCCTTTGCCGCTAAGGTCTCGGACACCCCTGCTGTAAAGTATGCATCCAGGATAAGCATCCAAACAAGTTAATTTAAACCCATGTCCCTCCTTCCTACACCCCATTTCAGCCACAAATTACTCTCTCCAAGCAAGTTCCTAACTTTTTTTCTTATACATCTGATGGTCTAAACCAGATTCTGGCCCGTAGTCTGTACAGCCAGCAGCTTAAAACACTGTTGATTTTGGACAGCTTCTCTGTTTCCTTTAAGTTAATTCCGTACAAAAGTAATTACCGACTGTAGGTGTTTACTATTACTTCCCCAAAACTCCTAATAATGAGGAAAGCAGAGGGCAACAGATGGGAAACTAAATATTTTTCCTTCTGTTGGTTGAACGGATAAAGTGTTGGGCCATCACCCAGTCCCTGGCCTCATTTCATGACGGTCACGAAGCATAAACACACTGCAAACACTTCCCTGCTGAGATTTCTCAGTGCCTATAAAACACCATTCATTAGGGTCTTGAGTCTACATCAGCATCTCCTGCTCATTCATATCATATTTCATAGGTTGAATAGTTCAATAAATGAGAAATAATCTGCTCCGTAAAGATGAAGAGTTGACACTGCTCCTATGTGGATTTTTCTTTTCCCGAACCAAGCAGCTGTGTTGGTATTTTATTTTTATATATATTTTTTCGACACAGGATACCATCATTCATATCCTGCAGACTTCCTATGTTCCCAGATGATCCATAACATTAGCTCCTTGGCTGGGGCTGTAGAGCCAGCCATTCTTGTATTTTCTAACTTCTACTAGAGAAAATAGACCTCTTCATAATACATGTGTTGCTAGGACTTGGGAAGAGAGCAGAGCTAGAAAGTTACCAAATTCCTTTGACACTTGTTCTGCTAATAACTCCTGTTATAGTCCCTGAGAAAGTTCTAAAGTCCCATTTACCGAAACACATGTTTACGGTGTGCCGGCTTGTAAAATACACTTTAAATATTTACATGGTATTTTTAGCATGCCAGTGCTCGGAATCAGGGTTGAAACACCTGTGTGTTGTTACAAAAAACAATATTTAATTTTTTTTATTTATTTTTTAAAAATTACAGATAAAAATAAAATTGGAAGAATGTTGACTTTTTTCTGATTTTAAGAAAGAACATGTTTTTAATAATATTCTTTCTTCCAGGAATAATTTAATGGTTTGTTAAACCTTAACCAATAAAAATATCACTTTGCAAGTCAACAAAAAAGCAGAATCTCTGCATTCTAGGAATATTTATGATGTTTTTAAAGTTTATCTTAATAAAAACTATAAAAATGATATAGTTAAAATAAGAAAATAATAGAGTTAAACCTTCACACCAATGTCATCATTCAATCATATAACATTTGTATCAAGACCACTCAAGCATTGTAAGTATCTGCTTCAAACAGTGAATTCTCTCAATTTTTTTCCTGTTCTCAGATTTAATATTTTTTTAAATTTATTATAACGTTATACTGGTTTCAAACAGCAAATCAAAATAACATTACAGTACAACCTCTACAAGAAATGGTGCATATTCTACATCACTAATAATCATTAAATTAATTACTAATTACATTCTTTTTTTTTTTTTATATTTCTTTATTGAAAATTCTATCAAAATTACACATCTCACAAATATCATAACAACATATGTATGCTAAACCTATCCAGTAACAATAAATACTGATCTAAATACATTTATCAAAAAGGACAGGTATAGAAAATAACAATCACACAATAACAAAGCACCAGCCATACAAACATTCACACCATCAGAGTGGGAAAAGATAGTTAAAACCAATGAGTCTACCATCTTATGTCCGGTAAACTTATAACCTCATCCATTTTCCACTACTCCCCGCCCTCTCTATTACATAATTACTTAACAACAAGCTCCAATCCAACTTATTCTTATGGGCAGAAAATAATATGTTGTGAATAGTGATGTCCCGAACGGTTCGCCGAACGGTTCGCGAACGGTTCGCGAACGGTTCGCCACGAACGGTTCGCCACGGACTCATCATTGAGTAAACTTTGACCCTGTACCTCACTGTCAGCAGACACATTCCAGCCAATCAGCAGCAGACCCTCCCTCCCAGACCCTCCCACCTCCTGGACAGCTCCATTTTGCATTCATTGTGAAGCTGCATTCTTAGTGAGCTGTCCAGGAGGTGGGAGGGTCTGGGAGGGAGGGTCTGCTGCTGATTGGCTGGAATGTGTCTGCTGACTGTGAGGTACAGGGTCAAAGTTTACTCAATGATGAGTCCGTGGCGAACCGTTCGTGGCGAACCGTTCGTGAACCGTTCGGCGAACCATTCGGGACATCACTAGTTGTGAATAATGAAAGAATCCAACTGCAGGCAATGGCACTAGGGTCAACCATATATTAATAGAATTTTATCCAACCACGTCTTGTATATCCCTTTCTTATATATTGCATTAGCCATAGTTACATAGTTACATAGCTGAAAAGAGACTTGCGTCCATCAAGTTCAGCCTACCTCACATTTGTTTTTTGCTGTTGATCCAAAAGAAGGCAAAAAAACCCAGTTTGAAGTACAATTTTTCAACAAGCTAGGAAAAAAATTCCTTCTTGACCCCAGAATGGCAGTCAGATTTATCCTTGGATCAAGCAGTTATTACCTTACATTGAAAGATTATATCCTTGAATATTCTGTTCTTGCAAGTATGCATCTAGTAGCCATTTGAACATCTGTATGGACTCTGATAAAACCACCTCTTCAGGCAGAGATTTCCACATCCTGTTTGTTCTTACAGTAAAAAAAACCTTTCCTTTGCCTTAGACTAAATCTTCTTTCTTCCAGTCTAAACGCATGGCCTCGTGTCCTATGTAAAGTCCGGTTTGTGAATAGATTTCCACACAATGGTTTGTATTGGCCCCGAATATATTTGTATAATGTTATCATATCCCCTCTCAGGCGATGCTTTTCTAAACTAAATAGGTTTAAGTTTGTTAACCTTTCTTCCTAGCCGATATGTTCCATTCCTTTTACTAATTTTTCTAGTGCCATTATATCCTTCTTTAGAACAGGTGCCCAAAATTGCACAGCATATTCAATATGGGGTCTTACCAGTGATTTATAAAGAAGCAAAATTATATTCTCGTCCCGAGAATGAATGCCCTTTTTCATGCATGACAATACCTTACTGGCCTTGGCCACTGCTGATTGACATTGCACATTGTTGCATAGTTTGTTGTCTATAACAATTCCCAAGTCCTTTTCATGTGTTGTTATCCCTAATTCGCTTCCATTAAGGGTATACGTTGCTTGTGTATTCTTTACGCCAAAGTGCATAACTTTGCATTTTTCAACATTAAATTTCATCTGCCATATTATTAATAAGATTAGTTTCCATAGTCAGCTGAAATTTAATTTGTTTAATCAAGTGAGTCTTTTGAAAGGGAATGGATGATTTCCAGCTTCTGGCAATTATAATTTTAACGACCACTAAACAGTGCGCCGCTATGCAACTTAGTTTCAATGATTTGGAATTCAAGCTTACATGAAGAAGGGCAGTGGCAGGGTTCTCTTTATTTATTATTGGATAGTGTGTAAAAAATGTTGAAAGCCCATGGCCACAGCGGCCTCCCTACCGGGCAAGTCCACCAAATGTGCATATAGGTTCCCGCCCGGAAACCACATCTCCAGCATGTATCACCTAAATGTGGAAACATTTTGGCTAATTTACACACTTATTAAATTCTAACGCATAATCACTTGCATGAAAAAATAAATGAAACATATCTTTTGCATAAGCGTTTGCTCAAAGTTCCTTTTGGCTACAGAGAGGAGATTTCTCTCATGAGGGCAACAACTATATATTAGATGGTTGGAAATTCTGAATTGAAATCTGAAACACTGTCGGAAAAATTAGAGTAAGATTAACTGTATTCAGAAAATCTGTCTCTTTGGTATGCGCCCCGCTGACATTCAAACATTTAGATTGCATGAAAACTATCCACATCTGATCAGCCGTAGATAAATTCACTTGACTATCTTTGTTCTGGTTTTGTTTGGTTAATACCATGTTTACACACACATATGTACCAGAAACACCATCTGACTGGGATAGTGTGGCATTTTGTCTCATATGTGCACTAGCCTTCCAATGCTTTCCTACAGGATCTCAGCCATGGAGGTGTGGCCATCTGTGGAGTTCGGTGCTGCAAGGGTGGAAAGGTAAGTAAAATTACTTTTGTTTTTCCCTTCAGTTGTGGACTTGTCACCTAAAGACCACCAGAGTGCAATAGCTTCGGCACCTAACGCCATAGTGTACCTTTAAACATCAATAGCATTTATATTTTTTTAAAAGATGTCTTCTATCTTATATTTGATTATGTATGGAGGACTGGGTGTACCTGGAACCTCAGAGATATAAACATTTTAAGATATCAGGGACGCAACAGTATAGAAACGAGTCTCACATGCTGCTACCATGTCAATGTTAAAACATCAATGTCAAGTGATATCAGCATGGAAACGTCATTTAAATACAATGTTACAAGGTGCTAAGCCTGAAATGGCTTCTCGCTCACATCTGTAGTGACACAGAAATAAATTGGTTTCAAGTCGAAATAGCAGAGAATTCAGCAGTGAGGCTGCAGTGGTTTTGCTGCTTAGACTCATCCTTTATCAGGGAATTGAGATAACCTCTGGAAATTGTCAAGATTTTGAAAAAACAATTTTACAATTTAATTGCCACCTCAGCACAACTCCACATAACTTACCAATTAGTGAATAAATCACAAAGAGTATAGATCTATCCTACATTTGTGTTTGGATCCAAAAATAAATACTGAATGATGAGAGCAGACATGTAAATGAGGAACCTACAGAATGGTTCTAATAAAGTATTGGGGATCCACAGAGTCAAACCACAAGATTGCCTTATAAAAATATAGCAGTGTCCGATTAATTCTATGCCTTTAATAAGTATCCGTCCGTTCACACAGAAATCAGTATAGAGAAGAACACTTAAAAATGTAACAACAAAAAGCACTTGTTTGGAAATAAAATTTAAAAAATCATGAAAATAGCAGATTTTTGTAAGATATGTTATTGGATATGGCGTGGCATTTGTGTTCTGAGTACACAATGTTTCCCATCTGTATTGTAAATGTCTCCTGGTGTGAAATGTTGTATATCTTTCTAGTTTTACAGTCTACAGATTGGCAGGTTTCATTGTCACCTGTTCCCACAAGAAGGAGACACAAATACTTAGCATGCAATTCATAGTAACTTAAACCAGACGGCTGAGATTTGGAGCAGACATGAGCAACTGTGGACCTCCAACTGTGGTTGGGCTTCAACCTCCTATCAACCATGGCCAGCAACTGATTTGCTGTTGTCTATTCTCTGGCCGGTCAAACATGATGGAAATTATGCTCCAGTAAGAAGCAGACATCGACAGAATGCTCACACCCCAACCTCATCTGTACATGAACAAAAGAGAGAAAAAACAAGACAGCCAAAAAGATGAAGGGAGAACATTCTGTTCTAAAGCCAAGTTCAGTAGCTTGGATATAAATGTCCCAACCTCTAATGTCAGGAGGTCACCAGCTGGAACTGGAAAATCGCCACCAATAAATTGTCAACGGAGGGAGTGTTGAAACCTTGTTAGTACCAGTGGATTACAGAGGATGCTCAGCTGTATTTAGAGAGAGTTAATGCCAGTTTATGATGCTGAATGTGGCTCTGTCAGTGAATGTGTGTGCCTGTGAGTGTTTTTTGTGTGTGAGTGTGTGTGTGTTTTAAAATGAAATAAAATTTGTTGACAGTGCATTAGTGGAAAGTACTGCTGTTTCTTTTTTTATTTACAGTGTGAATTTTCTATTAGTTTTCATACATAGGGACGGCAGGGAGGGCAAATTTCACAAGTTGTTTTTAATAAATATTTGACTGGTTTAATATTCTTTCCCCTGAATCTGATTGCTTGGTGGACTGGTTCACCATAAATCTGTAATTCATGTTTTAACCTATTTATTTGATCCCATATTAAGTAAGAAAGACCAACATTTGAATCATTTTCTGCCTTATTATGCATTTATTTATTCATACAGAGTGACGTTCAAGCGTCATGCGTTAATACAAAATCTAGTTTAAATATTACCTTTTATACAAAGAAATGCATTGCAGAGCATATTCAAAACTATTTTTGATACCCATCAGCTTTTGTAAAGATGCAGTATAAAAACTTCCGGAATATAGTCAGTTCAAGTAGACTTAAATTCTAGGTAAATTTCCTTAAGGTAATTAACTCAAAAAAAACTTTCAACGTGTTTAACCTGGAATGTGACTTTAATGCTTTTGTTTTAGCATCAAATCAAAAAGATATGAAATGTTTTCCTCGCTAACAACTAGGGCTGAATGAATCCCAAAACATATTGTGACAAACGCTCCTTCCCACAAATGTTTGCCATGAACTCCTGGAGGAGTGTGGAAGCCGGCTTACTGCCCACCGACTATGGTCCAGGTCTGAGACGCCTTTCAGGAGTTACCCTGCCCAGCCGCCACTAGCAGCTTTCCCTGGATGCCCCTGGTTCGGCACTTTCCCTTTATTCGAATGGAACCGAACAGTAGCTCCCTGGCGGCCGTTCGCATGAATCAAACCCACGAATGGTCCTCAGCGGTACTTAGCCGTGAATGTTATCGAACTGTTTTCGGCATGAGGTAACAGTGCGGTCTGGGTTTTTGAACCACTTTGCAACCCACCAGGAGAGCGCATTTTGGAGGGAAGTTGCCTGAGACTAAGGGGAACAAATGCTACCTGGGAGCAAGGTGGCGCACCCCATATTTCGGATGCAGGAGCTCCTGTAAGTTAACTGGCAAAAGCATCAAACGCCCTGGAATTATTTTTGGCATAGGACCACTTGTGCGGCCGGTCAGAACTTTAACACGGTGGTGTTTCCCCTACACTACATGGATCTAAGAGCTATTTGGAGAACTTAGGCGCTCAGATCTGGACTATTTGACGATGTATAATATGTGGGATTATTGTATATTTTTTATTATGTTTTGGGGTACTTTTATGTTTTTATGTTTTGTGTTGGGCTCTCTCAATCCATATAGTATAATTCCCCACCAAGGAATTTGATGACACAATTTTCAGGTTGAACTCAGAAAGGTCCTATATAAGTTTAAAAACACAGATTTTATTAAAATTAAAATATAAAATAATTAACGAGTAACACACTAGTAACAGTCCTCTTTGAGAAAGCCTGTCAATAAGGTGAACGTATTAGTATGCTCCTTTATGGTGCTTTTAGATTTTGTTTTCAATAACATTTTTTTTTTTTTAATAAGTGCTCATTACCTGCACAGTTTTTGGTTAGATAAACTATGCTTGGGACCAAAGGCAAGTTAACGAGGGCTGTCTTCAGAGAGTAAGAGTAAGCCTGACAATGAAGTGTAAACAGGTATTTAGGTAATTGTATATAATAAAAAAAAATATCACACACAGGCTGAATGTTTTCGTCTGGAGTTATGCCCAGAATTGTATTTTTCTTGTGTTTTGTTATTTCGTTTAACTCTGGTAGCCTACAGCCAAATGCCACTTGGTACCATTAGAACTGGCACAATAGGTTTTGTGTCTCCTTCCATCAAGACAAAACAGAAATCTCCCACACTTATAGAACGGGCGTGCCATTATTAGCTCAGACAGTTTACATTATCACAGGCTAGCATTCCTGACAAACAGCTGTGTTTACCCAAAGCTTTAACAGACACAAGGAACAAAACAATGTCTCCTTCAACACACACGGTTTAGCCATGACTACTTTTCAACTCATTCCTTCCATCAGGCGAATTTCGCAAAGGAAAGGCTTCTTTAGGGATTCAAGAGCTGCTGTCTGACTCCTTGCACAGCTCCAGCGTTAGCCTTTCAGAACCATGGTTTATCGGTTCGCTGCACGGTTTAAGGTTCAGATAGCACAGAAGAGTCATTAAATGAATGGAAACACATAAAGGATGTGCTAGGAATGAATCTGTGGCTAATAAATCTTTATTTATTTAAGCATTCTTCACTACAACTGCACAGGAAGGCCGGATGAGTTTTAACAGTACAGTTACACCTGCATTTTGTTTCAATATTTGACTCCATCATCACATTAACCCAATAAAAGATGCTTTGTTATTACAATAATTATGTATTATGTATCACATAATGTTCAAGATGTTACCATTGACAATGTGAAATTACTACAAGCAGGGTAATTCCTCCTGTTATACCGACATCCTGGCTTCATTCCCAAGCTTCAATGTCAGAATCAAGTGACACCTGGCACTCTTTTGACTATACTGCTCAGGAAAAGAAATCACAGCAACTACAGAGCAAAGTACCGTGACAGGTACACTTTACAGACAAGAAAACCAGGTATTTTATATAGATAAGTGGTTAAAGGAACAATATAGGGTCAGTAAGACAAACGTGTATTCCTGACCCTATAGTGTTAAAACAACCATCTAGCCCCCAGCCTCTCCTTGCTCCCCTAAATATAGTAGAATATTAATTGTATTCAAGTCTGCAGCTGCTGCCTCTGCCCCTGACCTGCCTGCTTACAGCTGACATCATGAAGTGGTGGTCTGAGCCAATCACAATGCTTCCCCGTAGGATTGGCTAATATTGTCAAGGAGGCAGATCATAGGCAGAAGCAGCACAAGTCAAACACAGCCCTGGCCAATCAGCATCTCCTCATAGAGATGAATTGAATCAATGCATCTTTATGAGGAAAGTTCAGTGTCTGCATGCAGAGAGTGTGCAGCACTGCCCCAGGAGGCACCTTTTAGTAGTCATCTAAGTAGTGGCCAAAGGAGGTGTCCCTAGGCTGCAATGTAAATACTGCATTTTCTCTGAAAAGACAGTGTTTACAGCAAAAAGCCTGAAGGGAATGATTCTACTCAAAACAGAACAAATTCAATAAGCTGTAGTTGTTCTGGTGACTATAGTGTCCCTTTAAATATAAGTGGCCAGACATTTTTTGTTTATTTTGTTAAACTATCATATCTTTGGCACACCAAACATTGCTGCAGTAACGAGTATGTGAGTATTTTTGCATCAATTTTGCTTTGGAAACAGGTTCGCTGTGTTTATAAGTTATTGACACAGACACTCTTGACGCCCCTATACAAAAAGAATAACATTACATTCATTTACGAAGATGTATTGAAATAAATCATGACATGGAGAATTTTCAACGGATCTTCATTATTTAAACATAAAAATATTGTCATCAGGGTTTGTCTGTGCGAATCCAAAACAATGTATATTTAGAAATAAAGAGGTTACAAGGTTACAGTGTTAAATTCACACAAATCTTAAGAGCCATGTTTACTAACGCCAAGTCAGACTCTATATATAGCACAGTTAAAGGGCCCCGTATTTTGTAAATCCATGGAATGCTTTTATTTGTTACAGAGGACCTGTCACTTGACCAGATGTTAAGTTAAGGTGATTTAGAAAAAAAAAATTAAAACTCAATTTTCAGGTTTGCGTTTTATATTTCCCATGTACGTTCTCACAATAGACAGAATTTATACAACTTCTTAATTTCATGACAGTAGGATTTAAAAAAAAAAAAAGAAAAACCTTTTTATACTCATCATTTTGAAGGATTTTATAGAAACAATATCTCCAAAAAATATTTGTGTGATGGATGCATGAATCTAAGCTTAGTTTTGTGGTTGCATTTTTTCCAGAAGGGTTTCACTCATGACATAGGACGAATAGAACTGCTCAAGAAACTGACAGCGGCTAAATTATCACTGCTATCAGCTTATCATTCTTGTGAATTGGACTGTGTGCAGCGATTGTCAGAGCCAATAACTAGGGCTCAGCTGTCTCTTTGGAAAAACGATAGGTCCAAGATGTTCGTCTTACCACAACTTGGGCAACATTGTCACAAGGAACCTGGAATTTAGAATGACAGGTCACTAACTGAAAGTTTTGAGTGGGCTGTTGTATAAGTGCATTTATACGTCACTTTGATCAATGATGCATAGTAGTTAAAATGCTTAGTGTGACCATTCATTGTAGCGTACTTTAAAAAAAATAAGATACAAAGATCAAATTCGAACTTTTAAATCTCTGCTCTTTTATCATGTCCATCGTGTCTCTCTCTCGCTCAGCTCTTGTATATTAATGTGATTAACTGTAATTATATATATATACTGTTTTCGAATTTGATCTGTGCGTTATTTTGTTAATTTGTAGAAGTGCTTGAATAAAGAGCTGAAAATATTTAAGAACTAGGAAACCATAGGGCAAAAATCATGTGCTAAATGTATTCATTGTTAACTTTAACAGAATTCCACACTGCAGATTTTCTGTAACTTTAGACATATCATTATTTGCCATCTTTTGACAAATTACATGTATGCTTTCCGAGGGATTCTGATAAATATTTGGACATTAGGAGATGGATTTTTCAGATTACGCAAGCTGTAACAGCATCTGATGAAAGCTGACCTATCAACAACAAGGATTGGGGTCTGGGGATCTATTTCCAAAAAGAATCGCATCTGTCATGAACTTTCCTTGCTGAAAACACTATTATATACTTAGAATCCATGTGTTGTTGGAGTCTATAAGACTACCATCTGGGTCTCCTATTGAACACATAAAGTTAGAATCATTTATTAGCTTGCATGAGTTTCAATGCTTTTTTTTTTAAATTCTTTATTTTATTTGTGCATCAAATAACAATAATCATGAAGAGCCACGACAGCGACTGCAGGCATTTTCATAGTATTCCAATACGTGGCAGCTTAAACGGCACATTTTTTTTGGGGGGGGAAATGACATGAAAAAGACACGTGAAGTTATAATGAACACGCATGGTAAGACATTATAATAACATAGTTGGGTACACATAGGCTTATAGTAATGTACGTGGGTTACATGTTGAGGAACAGTAGAGTAATTGAGCTTTTAGTGCTTGATAGAGACATAAGCTTAAAACAGAAAAGCAGTGTCAACAGTAAAATCGTGCTTCAGTGCTTGAGATGCTTAATAATGCTTAAAACAAAATGAAATGACCACCCCATGTTAACCCCGTGTCAGCCTGGTGAGAGTCCATGTCAGCCTTCATGATGACCCCTTAGTGTGCAGTGCAATGTGTTGTAGCGTGGTAAAATGCTTAATGGCTGCCTTTGCGCTTAAAGTCCCGTTGGCCTTGTAAGGGGGGGTTGAAGCTTTATTCCTGGGTCACTTGTGTTCCAGCCGAGCACCTGTCTTGGACATGTGGTGAGTCCCGGTTTAGTGGCTGTGGGTGGGCAGATCTGCCGAATCGGGCCCTCCACAGGGGATTGGGCATGTGCCAGGTTGGTCCAAGGCCTTGCAACATGTTCTCCCTTCGGGTCTACCATCCGCCGGTGTGTCGGGCCGTTATACTGCTCCTCTTCAGTTTGTGTGAGGTAAGCGCTTGCTCGCTGGTGCCGTCTTTATGCAAGCAGGAGAGGAGGGTGCATCCGGCTGCTCTGCCATGCGGTCTCTGCCATCTTAGGAGTGGACTCTCGCTGGTGTTGCGGCATTACGCTGGGTCACAGGGTGGGGACCGGGATCACCCCCGCCGGTCCATAGGGGGGGGAACAGGGCCAGGCCCGCCTAGCCATGCGTTTCTGCCTTACCGCTGGTGGGCAGGATAGCTGGGCGGTGGCCGTCCACCCCACTCACCGCCCGGGCGGTCTCCATCGCGTTCAGCTGGGTGCGCCCCACCGAGGGACTAGAACCTCGCGGCAAGCCTCTCCTCGGGACCAGGGTTGCTTCTTTCGCTGGGGTGTAGGTATCAGGCTTTTAATAATAATTTTGCTGGGTTTTAGTGCCAAAAACTTGGGAAGTTTTCAGGAGCTATTCCTCTGTGCTTCCTCTCAGCATGGCGGCCAGGCCCCGCCCCTCGAGTTTCAATGCTTTTTAACCCTTTTAATGCATGGCAAATCGAATGCAATAGACATTTCTAGTAGTATAATGTGGATTAACGTAATCCAATAAATATAACAAATCCACACTAAAATATTACAATAATGATACAAGTGTCTAAGTACATGTTGTTGAAATATAGTCCTGAACTGGCCAATTCTGACTTCTAGCTGGTCTGCAGATGACAAAGCTGTTGATGTAAAAGGAGTCATTATGGATGGCTGTCTTAGCATAATGCATTATTTCATTGTCTGTTTCAAGTTTAACACAGTCATTCTTCTGCCTAATAATAATAAGGAACACTCATCAGAGTTGTGGAAAACATAAAAAATTGTCTTTTTAGTTTTATCCCCTAAAGGTAAAAGGGATAGCAATTTAGGTACCATTTACAAATCAGACTGATCCCACCCATAAGGGCAGTCCAGAGCCGGAATGCCAACAAGACATTGAGTCGTCTTTCACTTTTCTTCTACTTTAGGTTAAACGTTGTGGTAAAAACTTTGTAAGATTTCTATAATATACCTTATATGTACTTGGCATCATAAAAAGAGGGATTCTCTCCCATCTTTGGCTTTGTCACAATCTTTTAGTGACTGGTCACTACTGACTAGTAACCAAGGTTGTCATTACTGATGGTGAGTAGCAGATGTTGCCATCTGTAAAAGTAGTGAAAAGGAGTTAACGGCTGCTGCAACTGAAAGCCAGTCACTGAGTAGTGGATAATGGCCCCCATGATTTTCTATGGGAAAAACAAACCATTACTTACCAGCTGGTTTCCTTTACTGTGATAGAAATATAGAATGTGATGGAAGATAAGAACCATTCGGCCCATCTAGTCTGCCCAATTTTCTAAATACTTTCATTAGTCCCTGGCCTTATCTTATAGTTAGGATAGCCTTATGCCTATCCCACGCATGCTTAAACTCCTTTACTGTGTTAACCTCTACCACTTCAGCTGGAAGCCTATTCCATGCATCCACTACCCTCTCAGTAAAGTAATACTTCCTGATATTATTTTTAAACCTTTGTCCCTCTAATTTAAGACTATGTCCTCTTGTTGTGGTAGTTTTTCTTCTTTTAAATATAGTCTCCTCCTTTACTGTGATAGAAACATAGAATGTTCCGACTGGTTTCCAGTCCTGTCACTACTTGTTACCACCTGCCACTCGCCCCCAAAAAAGTAACACTAGCCTCTAGCTTGGTGTACAAAGATGAATGACTGCTAAATCTCTAGACACTCTATTGAAACAAAAAGTCTTGCTTCAAGCCTATTGCTGTGTTTTACAGGTTGACGTAACAGGAAGTAGGTAAAATCATTTGTGTCAATTTTAACCTCACAGATTGTGTTTGACTTTAGTTTCAAATTTACATATATCCATTAATAATGTAAATTTGCATGTTTTGCAAATAACCACATTTGACTAACTTTAAAACTTGTGTAAGTCTAGGTACTCACAGCTAAGTTAGTCCAGGGTACACCTGGAATGCATTTGATCAGAAGCAAATGTTAGATACCAAAATAGGAATTTATTTTAATAAATTGATCTGTATTCTGAGCCACACACATGGTAGATAAAAGGGCTTTTCTTGACTTGTTATATTCATTTTTTATAGGATAGAACCCCAACAGATGTCACCTCTGGTCGACACTCTTCTTGACCCTAATTTATACCTGCGTCATTTCCTGATTTTCCCCATTCTTCCCCACCGTCGTCTCCGATTCATCAGCTACATCACATTTGTATTTGATACTAAACAGGTAGAAGTTTTAATTAATTCTTCATGACATAGCTCAGAGCCAAGTTTCCTCCTTCCATGGAGGCCCCTTTCTTTCTATGAGCAAGATTTTTTTCCGTAAGACGGATCCCATTTGCATCTTTAAAGGAAAAAGGGCAATCATTTATTTGGGCATTCCTTGTCATGCGAAATCCAATTTGTTCAAAATTCCGACCCACATTAAAAAAAAAAAAAAAGAATTCCTATTCCAAAACATGGATAATTTCCATAAAATGTCAAATAACGGCAATGTTGTTGGCAGGAGGATACAGCTGCTTCTGTTTAGTCATAGTTTGAGAGCAATTTCATTTGAATAACATATTCAGAGTGAAACTGTTTAACCATTAAATGTGATAAACAATGCATTGCAACATTCTGAGAAAAAATGGGGTTAAACAAATATCTCCCTTTATAAATATCTACAATTTTAGATTGTTGTGGAAACCTATACTATAAGGAATCAGATCACTTTGTGCGACGTTGGTCAATATTTATTTTTAAAAATAGGCATATTTACATAAAGGGATACTATGCTTTTTATATTAATTGTGGCACAAGACCTTTACCTGCCTCTGTCTCCTTTCATTGTGCGACAAAGAGCGGTAGGTATTTGCAGAATGGAAATCTTACATTCTCATTTTTTGCCGGCAGTGCAGTGTGAGAACTTAAGATTTTCAGTGCAATGAGGTGTATGAAGAATTGACTGTTTTGTTGTGCTAAAATCAACATAAATGAAAACTTCTATTTTGGTGAAAGGCGTTGCATTGATATTACCAGGTCAAACATGTCGAAATGACAGTAGTTTACAAGTGTTGATTTTCAGACCTTTATATTAAAGGGATCATCAACCCAGGATATCTGATTTTTATTTTACAAACTTCTTCTGCTCTTCTTCATAACACATCTCAAATGTTGAAAGTTAAGTTCTGGCAGATACCTTGTATCGATATGTCCAGGTGGTGTAAGACAATATATAGGTATTGCTATGGGCTAACTACCTGTATATAACATCCAATAGGGCTACTACCGCTCTAGCTTTGCCCTTGTACCCTTCAATCCATGGCTACCTGACACAGTGGCCAATGTCACAGGTTCCATGAGGCTTTCTCCTGTATTACATATTCTGAAAGGTCGATGTGATATTGTATTAAAATATAATATTGATTCACAAAGCGCCGGGCTGCATGACATCATTCAGGAAGAAGAGATCGGCAGCACTATAGGCAAACCGCAGTACATATAATATACATGCAAGGCTCGGCTGCAGCAGAGGAAAGGCCGGAACTGTTTTCCAGATCTATCAGAATTTTTATTGGATCTCTCAACTTGCCAACATTGGTTGTGACTATAACAACATCTATATTAAGCATTGATCAGTAGGGAGAGTCAGACTATAATTTGTGGATTAACGAAAATGAAGTTTCTATTGCTAGGATAACATCCAATAGTTGGCTTATATTGTCCCAACTGAAGATCCATAATACATTTGTTGGTGCTTTATCAATGTGGGTACTAATATTACACCAAGGATAATAAGCCCTGTCTGTCTGATACATGAAGTAGGTTTCCCCAGTAGTATCACCTCTCTTTGCTCTCAGGATGACTTTGTATCTGGCTGCATTTTATTACTCCAGCTGGGAGGACACAATGAGAAGTTCTGCAGAAGCACTTGATGCTGAACATTTTATTCCACTGGGAGCTTTCAATGCGACATCTGGAGCAAGCTGCAGAGAGGGAAACAAATGCACGGGGGTGTGAGGAGAGTATGCCCTGCAGACAGGGTGTTGCTGATGTGAAAATGAGCTGCAAGGAGAAACTCTGTCATCTACGAGCACCGGGAAAACAAGCACAAAGACAGGAGATCAACTCTTTCAACCCAGGGTCAGACGGCAACTGTTGGAATAACTGAAAGAGCCGCAGACATTCTACCTGCTTCAATGTTACTTCTGCAATGCTCTCTATAATCCCAGGACAATAGGAACACAGCAAATCAAGGCAGACTAACACAGTAACCCGGGATAGAGTAACACAGCAATCTAGGATAGAGTAATTCAGTAACCCAGGATAGAGTAACACAGTAACCCAGGATAGAGTAACTCAGTAACCCGGGATAGAGTAACACAGTAACCCAGGATAGAGTAACACAGCAATCAAGGATAGAGTAACACAGTAACCCAGGATAGAGTAACACAGTAACCCAGGATAGAGCAACACTGCAATCCAGGCTAGAGTAACACAGTAACCCAGTATAGAGTAACAAAATAACCCAGGATAGAGTAACACAGTAACCCAGGATAGAGTAACACAGTAACCCAGGATAGAGTAACACAGCAATCAGGATAGAGTAACTCAGTAACCCAGTATAGAGTAACACGGCAATCCAGGATAGAGTAACACAGTAACCCAGGATAGAGTAACACAGTAACCCAGGATAGAGTAACACAGTAACCCAGGATAGAGTAACACAGTAACGCAGGATAGAGTAACTCAGTAACCCAGGATAGAGTAACTCAGTAACCCAGGATAGAGTAACACAGTAACCCAGTATAGAGTAACACAGCAATCAAGGATAGAGTAACACAGTAACCCAGTATAGAGTAACACGGCAATCCAGGATAGAGTAACACAGTAACCCAGGATAGAGTAACACAGTAACCCAGGATAGAGTAACACAGTAACCCAGGATAGAGTAACACAGTAACCCAGGATAGAGAGTAACAGGATAGAGTAACAGTAACCCAGTATAGAGTAACACAGCAATCAAGGCTAGAGTAACACAGTAACCCAGTATAGAGTAACAAAATAACCCAGGATAGAGTAACACAGTAACCCAGGATAGAGTAACACAGTAACCCAGTATAGAGTAACACAGCAATCAAGGATAGAGTAACACAGTAACCCAGTATAGAGTAACACGACAATCCAGGATAGAGTAACACAGTAACCCAGGATAGAGTAACACAGTAACCCAGGATAGAGTAACACAGTAACGCAGGATAGAGTAACTCAGTAACCCTGGATAGAGTAACACAGTAACCCAGTATAGAGTAACACAGCAATCAAGGATAGAGTAACACAGTAACCCAGGATAGAGTAACACAGTAACCCAGGGTAGAGTAACACAGTAACCCAGGATAGAGTAACACAGTAACCCAGGATAGAGTAACACAGTAACCCAGGATAGAGTAACACAGTAACCCA